CACCTCTGTACTATGTATATCTAGAAGTGGGATTAATGGGTCCTGAGGAACATAGTCCTTCACTTGACTTATTATTGTATCACAAAACATGATGTCCCATGTTTGAAGTTTAAATGCATGCAGAGCAATGTTTTATATTACTTTCAAGAATATTTTGTGCAATGCAACTAAAAGGGATAGAAAAGTAAAAATAGCAATTATGATTATCTTTTCTAAGAATATGGAAAAATGGTTTTGGGGAATGGAATTTAAGTTAATGGGGAATATGGGTATTATCTATAGCATTTTGTGTAACTGAACTATTTCATGGAAAGGGGTAAAATGAATATTGAAAATAATCAGAGAAGTTTCAAGGAATTCAGAATCAAAATGACATCTACATGCAGGTAGTTGATCAGCCTTGGCCACAGGGTTGAATAAACCTGAAAACATAATTTGTGGTGCTGTATGTAGGAACAATTGGGATTATGTACCTCTGGTCAGAGAACAGCCTAAGAGATTGAAGTCACCTTCCAGCCAAGAGCCATCATAGCTTTTGCAGCCATCTGTGCCACCAATGCCTTCTTTGATCTTCAAAGCAATAGCCATTAGGATCCAGTACAATAACAAAAAAACTGATTATATTCTGCATTTATCTCTAGGCAAATGATCAGGAGCAGGTTTAGTCTCTTACTCAATATGCACCTTAATTCACAGAGTAGTGATGGCAGAAGATGCAGTATATAGAGGATCAGCATCTGATCTTCTGTATTTTTGGACCCACTAGAAACTAAATTAAATCCTTAAAGCAAACCTGAACACTGAACAAGTACAACAGACATGCTAACATGGACAAGGAAAGTTCACAAGGCCTCAACTCTGCACGTAGAACTACAGGCAACTAAGAAATGTGGAGAGTGGAAAAAATAACCTTCTCCAGGGAAAAGCAAACCAATTGGCTATCCAATGGCCCTGAAAACATACATACAAATAACATTATACAAACAGACCATGATTTATGTATGTATGTATAAATACATATGAATATACTTATACATCTATGTATATATGTACACAATTAATGAAAAAGTGTCTATCCATGAATTTGAAAGAGGGTAATGAGTATATGAGAGGGTCTGGAAAAAGGAAAAACAAAGGGGGAGATGATACAATTATGTTATAATTTCAAAAAATATTTTTAAAGAACTAACATGAGATGGCGATGTACCTTAATGGTAGAAAGATTGCCTAGAATGCCTAGAATGAGCAGGGCCCTGAACTCAATTCCCAGCATGGAAAATGAAAGTAAGCCATTAAATATTAAATAGTTAAAGTAGGTCATAAGGTCCCTGCATAGAAAAATGAACTAAGAGCTACCCCTTTCTTCCACAAGCCTCAGTTATATGACCATATTGTCAGCAGTAACAGTCTGCTCACTCCAGAGACAGATGTGGTACTTCCTGACACTTCTACACAGTAAACTCATGAGTGAGCCAAACAGTCACTGTTTTCCAAACATTTGTTGCGTATCAAATTTGTATAAACAGTGGTTCTCAACCTTCCTAATTCTGCAAACCTTTAAAACAGTTCTTTCTGTTGTGGTGACTCCCAACCACAGAATTATTTCATTACTTCTTTATAACTGTAGTTTTGCTACTGTTGTGTAACATTATGTAAATGCCTGTTATGCAGGACATCTGATATTTGGTCCCCAGAGGGGTCAGTCGCAACCCATGGGTTGAGAACCAATGGTTTAAAATTATATTAATGAAGTAACAGCAGCAGACTGTTTCTGGGGAAGGAGGCAAAAAGCATTCCGTGGCAAGTCCTCAGGTAGATCAGCTACAAATCTTTCTAGTAAGTACACAAGACTGGATTCAGGGCAGACACATGTTCTAAACCCACTCCTGTCCTACCAGGAGCCAGAAAATTGTCAATAAAGCCTGAACCCGAATTCTAAACTGCTGGTGTTTTTAAGCTCTGAGGAGAGGGAGACATAGAACTGTCCTTTGAGGAGAAGTGGCAGTAACTGCGGTGGGGAGGGAAAGAGAATCTCCAGCTCATTGTCTGTGCAGACATTCCTTACAGAAAACTGGGATATGAAGAAAGCAGACATCAGACATGGGTGACCAAGCAGACACATAGATGAAGGAAGACAATCATTGACCTAGAGGTCAATACAGACATAGATTCTCAGCACTGCAAGATTCCAAATGTGTGCGGTCTTCTCTCACATTGGGTGTGGCACAGGATCCTTTAAGCCCACACTTGTTTCTAATTTTTAATGTTTCTCTGTCTCTGATTTCATCCTAGATGTCTCTCTGCAACAGATCAGTAGTAGACTTTGTCGGGAACTAGATTAAAAGGAAAAGAACAGAAAGTGATCCCAAAAGTAAGACCTCAATCCTCTAAGACACATTTCCGTGGGAACAAGGATCACCCTAAAAACAGACAGGAGCACCCATGCAGCATACCTGGGAGACATGCTACATTCCTTGAACACAGACTGCTCAGAACATGGAAATGACTACAGCACATTGCCATTCCCTCAGGCCACCTTGGTTGCTTCTAAGCATAGAAACTTCAAATGAAGTTCTAATGATTAGTCAAATCAGATATAGAAAACAACTTTCCTAGAAGCCATATTTAACTCAAGATGAAGTTTAACTATCAGTGTGCTTTAGTTCTGGTTCTAAATAAAGAGTGACTAGTCTCCCTGATGATGATGCTTTGTGTGGTCGTTATTGGTGCAGATCAACTGCAAGAGGCAATTTGGAGCTCCTTTAAGAGAATCTAGAGAAACTAAAGCACTAAAGGAATCCAGAGTATTGTAAGCACTGCTCATTTCTCCCCTGATTCATCCTGTGATGGGGGAAGTCTTGTGTATATGTCAATAAAGCACTGTTGGCCAATAGGGAACTAAGATAGGTGGGACTAGGAATCCAGGAGGACTCTGGGAAGGAGAAACAGAGGAGAAACACAGAGAGTCAAGATGTAACACCATGGGGTAGGAAGCCCAGAAACCTCTCCGGTAAGAGAAATACTTAGATTAGCAATTATGGGATAAATACTTAAGTCAGAGGTAGCCAGTAAGAAACAAGCAAGGCCAACAGCTTCATAATTAATATAGCCTCCTGCGTGTTTATTTGGGACTGATGCGGCTCTGGAACCAGGCTGGTGGGAAGGCTTCCCTCAAGGAAAAGGCTTCACTTTACAATCCTGATTTGATTTTCGTAGAAACCCATAGGAAGAGAATCTTGATGCATTTGTTGCAAGTTAGTGCTACAAAAATAAAGCTGTCATGAGAGCAGAGAGTCACAAAGGGAAGGGTGTTAGGTGGGGGTGACTTGAGCTGCAGTAGATATGTGGGGTGATGATGCTGCATGTGTCTCTGGTTTAATTTCTGTCCTTATGAAAATTTTAAAATATGTATTGTCCCAGGGCAACAGAATCACAGGAATTAGAGTTCACAGCATTCTTAGTTATTTCAGCATGTGTTTAACAGTATGACTGCAATTTGACAATGACATGATTCCTCATTGTCTGAAACTGGGAGGAAGGGGAAGCAGCAGGGAGGATTTACCTGGAGGTATTGCTGAAAGTGCTTGGCTACTTCACTCCAGGGTTTTTGTAAAATTTAAGAGCTGATGAAGAATGGATAAAGAAAATGTGGTACATTAGCACAGTGGAGTATTACTCAGCAGAAAAAAAAGCAATGGAATCTTGAAATTCACAGGCAAATGGATGGAACTAGAAGAAACCATTCTGAGTGAGGTAAGACAGTCACAAAAAGACAAACATGGTATGTACTCACTCATATATGGATATTAGACAGAGAGGAAAAGATTACCAGCCTATAATCCACGCTGCTAGAGAAGCTAGGAAACAAGGAGGACCCTGAAAGAGACATACACGGACCCCAGAAAAGGGAAAAGGGACAAGATCTACTGAGCAAATTGGGAGCATGGGGGGAGGGTAGAGTGAGCTAGGAGAAAGAAAAGGGGAGAAGGGGAGGGGGAGGAAGACATGAGGGACCAGGAAGACTGAATGGGGGAAGAATAGAGGAAAGAAGAAAAGTGATTCCTTAATAGAGGGAGACATTATAGATTAAACAGAAATTTGGCACCAGAGAAATGTCCAGAGATCTACAAAGATGACCCCAACTAAGAATCTAAGTAATAGTGGATAGGCTACCTTAAATTCCCTTCCCCTATAACGACATTGATAACTACCTTAAATGCCATCCAGTAGCCAATGGAAGCAGAAGCAGAAATCCACAGCTAAGCACTGAGCTGAACTCCTGTAATCCAGTTGGAGAAAGGGAGGAGTGATGAGCAAAGGGGTCAAGGCCAGGCTGGAGAAACCCACAGAAACAAGGGGGAACTCATGGACCCCAGACTGATAGCTGGGAACCAGCATAGGACTGACCCAGGCTCCCTGAATGTGGGTGTCAGTTAGGAGTCCTGGGTAGTCTATGGAGCCTCTGGTAGTAGATCAGTATTTATCCCTAGTGTATGAATGGATTTAGGAGCCCACTGTCAGCCTAGACACACAGGGGAAGGCCTAGGCCCTGCCCTACTCCAAATGATATGACAGACTTTGATGATGCCCCATGGAAGGCCTCACCCTCCCTGGGGAGCAAAAAGGGTATGGGATGGGGGCCAATGAGGAGGCATAGGAGGATGGGAGAGAGAGGGAACTGGGGTTGATATGTAAAACAAGATTGTTTCTAATTTAATTTAAGAAAAGAGAAAAAAAAGCTTAAGAGCTGAGTAGAGATGTAAGGGTGCATAAATGCCAGAGGAGACAAGAGCAACTTAAAACACAGGAAAGGGCTTACTAGTCTGGTGGCTTTTCCTGGGTTTCCCCAGAAAGCAGCACCGGTATGGAGTATTCGGTGGCTTCCAGGTTTCTCTGAGATTTTGGAGTCACCCACATTTCCCTGTAGAAAAATCTTAACTAAAAGAGAAGTGCCAATGCAAATGATGAAGTAGGCCCAGAATAGTGGGGATATAACTTACCAGGATTGAACTTGGGGTAGAGATTCAGGAAGCTGTTCATTTAGCATGTTTCTTCCACGTGGGGTGCTGTCCTCAGATTCCTCTGGATTATTAAAAAGTGAGAATGAGAAAAACCCTGCAGGGGAACCCTCCTCTTCCTGATCATGTGTGCTCAAGCCAGATCAGAGTTGGTGGGAAAAGCTGTAACTTATTTATCTTAAGGAGTTTGAGGGTGTGCTCTGGAGAAGTGTACCCCAGTATGTCCTGTGCTTCTATATGTCTGAAGACAAAAACGTTCTCAAGACTTCAACAAACATCTACCATCTATAGCTAACCTCATCTCCATTAAAAAAAAAAACATCTCACTGTTACGCTCTGGTTAGTTTTTGTCAGCTTGACACCAGCTAGAGCCACCTGGGTAGAGCGAATCTCAGGGAAAGAATTTCCTCCACCAGACTGTGCCTGCAATGTGGGTGTGTCTGTGGGGTATTTTCTTAATTGCTCATTGATGATTCAGAGCCTAGGTCCCTGTGGGCAGTACCAATCCTGCGCAGGTGGGCCTGAGCTAACAAGAGCAGCTGAGCAAGCTGAAGATGCAAGCTGGTAGACAGTGTTTCTCTGCTATTCCTGCTTCAGTTCCTGCATCCAGGTTCTGCCTGAGCTCCTATCCTGGCTCTTGTGGTAGACTGTAAACAGAAACAAACTCCTCCCCTAACTGTTTCCAGGCAGTCTATGGTCACAGCAATAGAAACAAAGCCAGGACAACCATGCGCCCCTTAGAAACTTTCGTATGACACAGTTAATTCTTTGTTTCCTGCTCTAACTTTCTTGGGGGAAGTGTGTTTCATTGCCACTTGATAAAGCAATACATGTCTTCCTTCCTCAATGTAACAAGGTACAATTTGGATAGGCATCCAGAGACATTTGATGTGGACCCTTGACAATATAACCAGTTTGGGCTTTCCACATAACTAATTAGAAGTTACCCGACGAAATTTTGTGACTGAAGAATGCCAGTGTCTTAACAAGATGTGTCCTATTCCCCAATGCCATCTGACACGTCAGCCCGTGTTCAGTAGCCGCCTCTAACATCCTGTCAAACAACTGCCAAGTTTTTTCAGAGCACATTTCTAAGGAAATACTGAAACCCAGAGCTTACATAAAACACCTAGAACTCAACCAAAAGTAGAGACAAAAAGCCCATCATAAAGTATTCCCATAAGCTGGCATTTTCCCAAAGATACATAAGTGTTCAATAAGCACAAAAGACAACAGAATTATTACTCATTAAGTGAACCCAAACTGCATCCACAATGAGACTAGCACTAGAATGGCCATGCATAACAAGGTAACAGCATGTTGGCAAGAGTATAGAGAACTGGGCATGGCTTGCACAGCTTATGGAATTGTATAACAGTACAGCTATACGATAAGACAGTTTTGTAATATCTTAGAATATTAAATGTATGACTTTCATGTAATCTAGCAATTCTAATCTCAAATGAATGCCCAATATAAGAATGACAGGAAATTGCTTGCAAATACTTTCACACAGATGTTTTACAGCAGTATTATCCATACATCCCCAAGTGGGAAAACTTCTACTTTAGTTAACTTGGGGTTTGTATAACAAACAGCACAAGTTTAATAGCAAGGTACCAGTATGGCCTGGTTCTCAGGAAGCTTCTTCCTGGCTTAGAGAAAGGGAGGAGGCAGGTATGTAGGCAGAGAGAAAGAGAGGTTCACTATTCTTTTCCTATATGGGCAGTAATGTAATCATGATCCCATTATGATCCCTTTGTGAGCCTCCAACAACCACCATGCTATCTAAATCTGACTGTCTTCAAAGTCTCTGCCTCCAAGGAGTATCAATATCTGCATTTTATGAGGGAAAATATTCAATCATTTGCACTCTGCTCTTGCCCCTGTCCAAACCATATACTTCTTTCATGCTGTCTGCAAGCCTTAAGTTACTCTAGAGTCAACTCTAAAGCTTAAAGTCCAAAGTCTCCTTGTATATCACCTAATCAAATGTGTGTTAAAAGTAAGGTGTGACCAATCCTAAGGCAAAATTGTTCTCTAGCTATATACTTTTGAAACCAAACAAAATGCAATGGTGATGGAGGAAAAAAACGGAATAGATGTTCCCACACTCAAAGGGAGGAATAGTAAAGAGTGAAGGGTGATAGAACCTAACTTGTCAAAAGTAGGTCAAGGCAAGTCCACTGTATCTATAGATGCACTGGAGTGTCTGTCCTCTACCCCTGCCCCTGCCCTTCTTACAGAGAGAACCTGTGCATTCCTGGGTCTGTACTGGTGACAGCTCTGCTGATCTCAGAATCACCTTGTCCTCCACACTTCTTTCAGGGTATCACATGTCAAAACCAAAATGCCTTCTATCCTTCTGTTCCTTTGTTGAAACAAGCAATAATTTTATGGCACGATGCCACCCCATGCTCTTTGCTGATTAAGTGCAGAAGTGCCCTCAGGATAGCTTTAACTGAATGGTCAGTGGTGCCCTTAGTATATTCCTCAAAATAAATTTCGTCATAACTTGCAGCATGAACTTTTTCAAATCTCCAAGTTTTTAGCTAAATTTGTTCATCCTAATTTCAATTATTCTTTATTATATGGTTGTTTGCTTGTTTTTTCAATACAGGCTTTCTCTGTAGCATTGGAGCCTATCCTGGAACTCGCTCTGTAGAGCAGGCTGGCCTCAAACTATCTCTGCCTCCCAAGTGCTGGGATTAATACATGCACCACCACCACCTGGCTAGTGTAAGTATTCACAAGGACCAAGCACACCTCCCTTCAATATTTGGTTTAAATATCTCTTTGGTGGGTGGTTCAATGACTTGAGTTAGAATCAATAGAACCCATGTGAAAAGCAGGCATGGCAGCACTTGACTGTAATCCCAGGTTCTTACAGAGAGGTGGGAGGCAGAAACAGGAGCATCCGCAGAAGTTCACGTAGCAGATAGGCTAGTGTGAGTGGCTGCAGCCAGCAAAGGAGAGACCCTGCTTAAAACACGGTGAAAGGTGATTACGAACACCCTGGCTTGTCCTGTAACTGGCACATTGACACCATGGAGCATGCATACTCACACATATACCTGTACACATATCACACACATACATTCACATCCAATACACAAAATCAGTCTCCTCAAGTCTTACTATTCAACTGTTTGTAAGTTTTACCCTCCATTAAAAAAAATAGACCACACCTGGGAGGTGGTGGTGTACACCTTTGATCCCAGCTCTTGGTAGGCAGAGGCAAGCAGATCTCTTTGAGTTCGAAACCAGCCTGTTCTACAGACAGAGTTCCAAGCTGATGAAAAACAAACAAACAAACAAAAAGAAATAGAACACAAACTCACCCAAGTTCTTTGCCTCTTTCTGTAGTATCTCCTTTCCTTCAGTCCCTCACTTCCATCTGAAACATAGTGGTCTTACTGTCCATAATTCTATACACATTTAATTTATGACCAACTTTGTAGTTTTAAAGAAGGCAATGTTTTTCTCAATACCTTCCCCATTTTTTCTGAGACTTTGCCAGAATCACTGTTTGACATCTCCATGGCATTCTGATGTTTTTTCTTGCCCACACCTCAAAATTCTTGCAGTGTCTGCCCAACTACCAGTTCCAAAACTGCCTTCACATATTGAGTATTTGTTATAGCAGCATCCTACTGGGTGCCATTTGCTTCCATCATGCAAGGGCAACATTATTCTTAGAATAGTAGACACGTACTGTGGGCATAGATTTACTTTCATTTCATATAATGCATCTATCTCTCCCCCCTTCTCTCTCTCTCTCTCTCTCTCTCTCTCTCTCTCTCTCTCTCTCTCTCTCTCTCTCTCTTTCTCTCTCTGTGTGTGTGTGTGTGTGTGTGTGTGTCTAAATACTGTTTGTTTGGTTTCTCAGGTGTGATGTCTACTTTTAATTATTAATTTGCCGCAGTAAAAGATCACCTGGAAAAAGGGATCGTCAACTAACGATTGTTTATATCAGGTCGGTCCATGGCATATCTGTGTGCTATTCCTTGATTGTGTTAACTGAGGTGGAAAGATTCGTCCACTGTGCATGATAACAGTGGCTCCTGACTTGAAGAAGAGTGGAGAAACTGACGTGAGTACAAGCATGCATGCTTTTCCTCTCTCTGGTTTTGACTGTGGTTGCAGCTAGCTGTTTCAAGGTCCTTGTAGTTCTTCCCAATAATGATGGACTGTAACGTGGAACTGAGCTCAAATGAAGCTTTCCCCCCTCTAACCCTCTTCAGTCAGTGTATTTGATCAAAGGAACAGGACACAGTGCTAAGACATTGGAGAAACTTGGTTACTACAGACAATGTAGTCATTCTTCATTAAGATGATATTTCAGTAATTGTATTGTTAATAAAGCCATTTAAAAATGTACTCATTTCAGTGCAGTTAATGGGACTGCAATCATTAGCAAAAACAGCATCTTTCTTCTTTGTCACCTGTTTTCCTGAAAGGGAGATGGCCAGTGTCATCATCTGTATGTGATGGACCAGCAGCACCGTTTGAAGGGAGAGGGCCCTGCCAAATGACTGCTGTCTTCCCATTGGCGCAACAGGGTTGCGTAGGACATCTTGATCAATGCGGAATGTAAGCTCCAGATCATGCCCATTATAAATGCTCTAGTCTATCCAATTCTGGGGCAGGAAGTGAATGATGCATGGAAGCATTTGTGTTGATCAGTATGTGCTGGGCTACCTAGACAGAATAAGACACTTGATAATATACTTACTTACTTATTAATGTGATATGCGTGTATCTGATGTACAAATGTTTTACATGCATTTGTATATGTAAGTGTTGGTGTGTATATTTCATATTGCTGAGTCATAGTACAACCTTAAGTGTTGATCCTGATCTTCTACCTTGTTTGAAGCACGGTCTCCACTGTGTGGCTCACTGTTGTGTGTTCTAAACCAAGGGCTTCTGAGAATCTTCTTTCTCTACCTCTTGTTTCATGATGGAAGTTTTGTAAGTGCAGATGTGTGCTACTGCATCTCGTTTTATGTGTTCTGGGCATATGAACTCACTTATTCACACTTGTATAACAAGTACTTTATCCTCTGAGCCCTCTCCCCGGTCAACTTAATAAAATTTAAAAAAGGTGCAGTCACTGGGTATGCATCAATTTTGCCAATGGATTTCTAAAATGTGTGACTGTTTTACTCTAATAAATGGTTTACTCTATGCCATTGTCACATGACCAAATGAGAAAAGAGTAAATTATAATAGGACAACATGACATGAATTATTACTTTTAGCATAACTGCTGGGTAAAAGGGGCAAATTCAAAAAAGGTAGCCCTAGGAAAATAAATGAGGAAGGGTCCAATCAAGGCCCTAAGGCCAATATGAAAATTCAAGATACAAATCAACATCCAGGAAGGTAACCATGGGATACACTTGAACTGGAAAATAGGTCATCTTGTAGAGAGAAAGCTACAGGCAACATATAGCAAGCAAAAAGTCAGCCTATCAACAACTATCTGGGTATTGAACTAAGAGGAATTCCCAGGAATGTGTGTGCTCGCATGAATGTGTGTAGATGCCAGGGATAATAGGAATAGGAGTCTATGAGGAGAGAGTCTCAGCTAAGAACAAACCCAGCTTCATTCTGCAGGTACTTTGCAGGCAAAAGATACAATCAGAAAGAACAAGACCAGAGTCCAAAAAGCTAATGAGCAATCATGGGTCTAAGAGCAAATTCTGTCCCCATAATCGAAAAAGAATATAATTTCAAGTACACGGGCAGAGCAGAAATGCAGCAGTCGGCCAGCCAGTCATTGTCCTTAGATGGTTGATGAAGGAAGAAGTCAGGTTAGGAAGATGCAAACCATCATGCTGGTCTGGCAAGCCTTAGTCAACCTGACTCAAGTCCTCAGAGTTAAGACAGTCAGACAGAATACCATTGTCAGCCAAAAGTGGCCAGTGCCAACTTTTCCCTGCTGCATTTCATCATGGTCTTGGCTTTGAACTGGAGAACATGGTATCACTCAAGGCAACAGACCCTGATGAGTTGCAGATGGCATCTGGTATACTCCCTGCAGCTGTGTGGCAAGTTTTCTTGAAGAAAGAGGTAAGCAGCTGTCCCTGACATGATTTTTTAAAAAAACCCTGTGGTATTCAGAAGAGCTATCTAGGCTAGAAGCAATGTTTGCTCTCCACATGCATACAGACAATATCTAATGGCATAACACAGCCTCGAAGTCACAGGTTAAAGTTAGTTTAGACAGAGAAAAGTACCAAGAACTGAGCTTTCCACTGCAAAAGCAGGACCTTAAAGCAAAAACAAAAATCCACCCAAGGAGTCTGGGTAAGGCAGTTTTCCTTTACTATGACAAAGTATTCTAGGAAATCAACTGAAAAAGTATAACAGTGGGGGTGTGGCTTAGGAGGGAGTAGTCTCAGGACTAGCTATTCAAGCATGAGGACCTGAATTCAGAAACCCAGCACCCACATAAAGGGTATGTAACTATAATCTGTATGGAAAGGGTTGGGACAGACAGGTCCCAGGGAATCCCTGGGATAGCCAGTCCAGTTTCAAATGCTAAGTTAACTCTAGGTTCAGGGGGAGACCTTGTCTCAAAAACAAGGTGGACAAATTACTAAGGAAGAAATACCAGTGTCAACTATATATCCAATATGGGAAGACTCATCTGAACATAAATATACACACATGTATATCACACACACACACAAATAAAGGTGAAGAAGAGGGAGACTCATCTGAACATAAATGTACACACATGTATATATCACACACAAAAATAAAGGTGAAGAAGAGGGAGAAAAGGAAGGGGAAGAGGAGAGGGAGGAAAAGAAGGAGGAGGGAAAGAGAAGGAATAAGAGGAAGAAGAGGAGCTGGAAACAGAAGAAGCAGGAGAATGGAGGGGGATGAGGAAGGAGAGGAGACAGAAAGCAAGTGTTTTGGCTCACAGTGGCTAGGGTCTGTTGATGCGGGCCTGTGGGCATGCAGCACACCCTAGAGGGAGCTCATAACACACGAACATTACTCAGTGTCTTCCAGGAGCCTAGAGAAAGGGGTGAAGAGAGCCTGGGATCCCAATATCCCTTTCAAGGGCCCACATCCCGTGACCTTATTCCCTTCTGCTTCTCCTTACCTCCTAAAGTTTCCATCACATGTCAGTAGCACCTCAAGCTGGGGAATCACAACTTGAACTCACAAGCTTTAAGAGAACATTCAGGATCAAGACTATAGCAGAAACAGAGGAAGCATGATTTATGATCTTGGGAGTGGGGGTATAAGGGCAAGAGATGTTTCAGACAGATGTGAGCAAGGTGTACCAAGCGATGCTTATGGCCAACTGACATGAGGACTGAGACCAATTGTAGAATGTAATAATAGGAAGTGATCTTCGTCAAAGACATTAAGTGGAGAGACACATTTAAGCTGTAGAGAAGATTGAGAGTCAGGAAGTTAGAGACAGACCATACCCAGCTCTCTGGAGGAATTCTGACCCAACTCGTATCAGGGAAACGTGAAGAAATGACTTAAAAGAAACTGATCTGGCTTTGTTGTGTTTTGCACTTGGAAGTGGAAGTCAGGGACTCCCTTTTCCAGCAATAGATACTGATTTTAGTTAACAAAAGTTACTTTGTCAGTGTAAGCAAAGGGTGACACTGTGTTTAAACCTCTGGAGAAAACCTCAGGGCATGTGTCATGTATATTTAACAAGAACTATCAGAACATATCTTTGAAAGCCAGATCCAGGCTAATCATGCAATCAGATACATTCCAGGGGGATCTACACCTTTTGCATACTGTATTTGGCCTCTTGGCTCCTCCATTCCGAGAGTGACATTAAGAGCCAAGGAACACTGTAACACTCCATACTGAGCAATTCCAATCAGATCTGAGGGATGCCACATACTAGTTTAAGCACCACTTGGCACTGTGAATGTCTGGTAAATGAAAGACAGAGGAGGATTACACCTGGTGGTATGGAAAATGAAAGAAAAAAAACTCCCTTGATTAAAATTCAACACCTTTAACCTTCCACTGAGCTGTTAAATACCAGCAGGTTTCAGCCCATTATGGAAATGAAGCCCCCTTCAAACAGAGTCATTTTAACTGGATGCTACAAAGAATATTATCCATTCAAGAAGCTGGGCATGGGTTGCCAAGAATAAAATATGAACAGTGGGAAGAATTCAGAGTGCTCTGGGACCCATGGAGATGACTACAGATGTTGGTCAGTGGGCCTGCACAGAAACTAGCAGGGGTATTATGGTAACCCCAGAGGCTTGGCACATCTTTAATGAATAAAATGTATTATGCCCAGGATCCCCCAATCAATTGCTTATCTATCCATTTCCCAAGTTGTCCCCTCCAAATGTTTGCCTGTTGCAGAAACACCTGGATCTGTTAAAGGCTGCTAAGTGCCTGCGAACAGCTTGAGAGCTAAAGCAAGCCAATGAGAGAAAGAGATGCTATCTATTTCTTTTCTCTCTCAAGTCTGATCCTCTCTATAGCGACATGTTCTCAATCTTGAGAAAAAGAAACCATGTGCATTTCTCTTCTGCTCCCTTCCCCTCCACACTGTGTAAATCTAACACCCCTATACATTGTACTTCCTGGATCAAGAATGACAAAATCTAACACTTATATACCAGCTTTCCATTCCTGACTCCTTCACCACTATCACTTGCAATCCCAGAACTCAGACACCAACAATTAGTCCTAGTATTCTTGGAAATTTTATTGCCTAGAACTCCTAGAAGGGAATGCCAATGTCTCCAATGTTCCTTCATTCCTTCCTATCCCTTCACAAGCCCACAAGGATCCCTACACACACACACAGACACACACACACAGACACACACACACACACAAACACACACACACCCTGATATGATGCTGCAATGATAAACGGCACACTTACTGAAAGTATAAGTAAGTATTTATTGTAGAAATTACTCACAAGAGAAAAACAAGCAACCCAGATGAGCCGAGTGTTTTTCCGCCACCGAATTGGAAGCCGGAAAGAGGGTGAGACCTTCTGCCAACAGTCTTTTATACCTTCCTCCGTACATGCCCCAACCATGCCCAAAAGTGGACCTGGCTAGTGACATAGTTCACCACCTACGTCGGTATATGTCTTTAGTCACGCCTAAAGTGGGTGTGGTTAGCGATGCAGTAAACCGCCCTTTCATTACCTCATCTGTATGCGCCTCTAATATGCTTCAAGGCTAATGGTGGAGCACCAAATTTCATCCTACACTGATATTTTACTTTGACTTCAGTTTCTATCTTATGACCTTGACAGTATTCCATTCAAAACTAAATGCTATTCAGTTATCTTCCTAGGTGATATCTTCCTTTCTACTGTTCCATAGAATCAAGTTGAAGATCCTGAGAATAGCTTGGAAAGCCCTGCAGGTCATATGCTCACTAACCAGAACTCCAGTTCCTACAGGAAATTGCTCCTTATCTCTGCCTCAAACACTGTTCTCCCCTCCAGGCTGTTTCCAGTAACTTACTTCCTCTTCATCCTACTGCCATGCCCCTTCATACTTAGGTCATCCTGATTGATGTTTCCTAACCTCAATGACCCAGTTACCCTGAAACTCTAAACTTGTTGCTGACATCATACCCGCTATATTTATCTTCATTCTATTGATGTCTGGCTCTTCCTTAGTGTATAGCATCCATGCAGCCAGTAGCTCGTTCCTTATATTTATCTTTCAAGTTCCTATGTCATCACTTGGCACATTGTAGAAAACTAATAATAGTGATAATAAAAAGAGTTTAATGCTTACAACAACCCTGCAAAACATATACTCTTATTACTAAAGAAGTATAAACTGAGTTCCTAAGAATCTAATGATTAGTTCATCATGGTAATATATATATGTAATTATAGTAGGTAGGAAGATTTTGAGTATGAGGCCAGTTAGGCTACATACTAAGATCTGTATCAAGGCAAATTAAAAAAGTTAGTAATTTGAAAAAGGTCAAGCCAGTGGCAAGAGCTATTGAGTATAGACTTCAGAAAACAAACCTTAAAATGCTTCAGAATAATTATAATAGGGTCATCATGGCTTGGAGCAATGTAATCCTGTAATCCAGGAGTTGCTTGATTGTGGGGATGGAGTGATTTTGAGATTGAGGCCAGTGCTGCACACTAATTTCCAGGTTGACATGATCTACATGATACCTTCTTAAAAATGTGCATCTGCAAAACTGTGACAGAGAAATAACAGAACAAGAACTACAATAAACTACAGGTCCCCCCCCCCCGCCCCAAAGCGGCTTCTCACCAGACCTTCTGGGACCTCCATGAATCCTTATGTGATGTTTCATTAAACTTGGGCAAAGCCAGAGAAGCGAGGACTACTTTCTTTACCCTTTTCTCGTGTTGTAATTAGAACACAGTTTCTGAAAAACAACATTCTTTGCTTTCCTGGTAGGGGAAAATGGGTTTACATCTCAATTCTTACCTAACATGATACAGGATGATTATCACAGTAAAGATCTAATGGCCCCCAAAAGTCCCCAGCTTGATGCTACTGAGGGGAGGGAGATAGGACCTTTAGCAGATAGAGCCTCATGAGAGGTCATTTGGTCATTGGAGACATTCCTGGAAAAGGGATCATGTGACCCTTTCCCTCTGGCTTTATCTGTCTTGCTGTCTGGCCATGAGGTTAGCAGTTGTGCTTTGATAAATACTCCAGCCATTATGAGCTGTCTCCCCATGGGTCATAGATAAACAACTCATGGATTAGAACCTCTAAAACAATACCCTCAATTAAATGCTTTCTCCTTATAAGTTGGTTATATAAAGGGTTTAGCTGTGATTTGAATGTGAAATGTTGCCTATAGGCTTACCCCAGCTGATGGCGCTGTTTAGAAGATGACTTGGTAGATTAAGTATGTTGCTGCGAGTGGGGTGTGAAGGTTTATAACCTGGCTTCTACCTCCTGTTCTTTCTTGGCTTCCTAGGAGCTTATGCAATCTGATCAGCTGGTTTCCTGCTTCTGTTGCTGTGCCCTCCCTGTCTGTTGCTATGTGCTCCCCGCTATAATGAATGTATCCCACTGGAAACATAAGCCAAAATAAACTACAGTCCTTTAAATTATTTGTGTGCAAGTATTTTTCATGACCAAGGTTATAGACATTAACACAATGTTGGACAGCACATACCTGAGTTTCCACAACATCTTGAATCTCAGAAGACCACCACCCTCAGAGGATCAGGAAAATCTGGGCATGTTTCATAGAAGTCACTTTGGAGCCCAAGAGCCCTGGAGCTCACATAATGAAGATATAGTTTCATTGTCTCTTTTACTGTGAGATCTATTTGTTAAGCAATGAGAATTATTCTAAGGGATGCAGCTAAACTAGAAGGGAAATAATAATAATGAAAACACAGTACAGAAAATCTCATAAGAACTTATAGAATATCATTGGCTGGCATCTTTAGGTCTATAGAAAATGTTCCAAAAATATTTTCTGACTTAATAGATCAAATGACCAAGTGTCCTACTTTCATTTCTGTTGCTGTTACAAATACCCTGACAAAAATTGATGTAAGGATGGTAAAGTGATTTATTTAGCATACAATTCCAGATTACATTCCATTATTTCAAGAAAGTCAAGACAAGAATTTAAGGGATCACATCCTCAACAGATAGTATGTATTATAGCTATTAGCTAAGTGTGTTCATAGGTCTCTTGACTATGAGAATGAGTGGGTCTCTCTTTTGCCTTCTCTTGGGACTCTTTTACTCCTGTTGGGTTGTCATGTCCATCTTTGATATCAAATTTTTAGCTTCATCTTATTATATTTTACATTGCCATGTTTGGTTGTTATCTCTTAGGTGCCTGTTATTTTCTAATGAGAGACAGAAATGGAGTAGACGTAGAGGGGAGGTGGGAAGGAACTGGGAGGAGTTGAGAGAAGAAAACTATAATTAGGACATATTGTATGATAAAAGAATCTATGTTCAATAAAAGAAAATAATAATAAAATACAATGTGTACCTAAAAAGAATATCAAGATATCCATGATAACCCAGATGTTCTTTTATTTTTGGCAATTTCATACATTGAAATGTAGTTTTTAAACTATTTCATCCATATATATATATATATATATATATATATATAAAATCTTGTTTTTTCCTTGTTTATAGATGTATGCAACTCTCCACATTACTCTGTCTTATCTCACTCTCAATGAATTGTTACTTCCAAATAAGTCCCTACCTTTTTCATGTCTTGTTTTGTGTGTGTGTATGTGTGAGAGAGAGGGGGGAGAGGGAGGGAGGGAGACAGAGAGAGACAGAGAGAGAGAGAGACAGAGACAGAGACAGAGAGAGAGACAGAGAGACAGAGAGAGAGAGCACTGAATGTAATTAGTGTTGTTGAACTCATCACAGATAGATGTATGGGAGTTTGGGCCTTGTTACCTTCTCTTTTATCTGTGATATATTTTATACAGGACTTATGTACATAACCACAGCTGCTGTGAGTTCATGATTCCAATGGCCATGAGAGTTTTCACAGCACTCCCCTCCATCCTCAAGCTCTTGCATTCTTTCTGACCCTGATTCTACAAGATTTCCTGGGCCTTAGAGGGGAGAATATAGGCTTCCTGTTTAGAGTACTCAATAGTCGCTTAGCATGTTGACCAACTCCCACAGTCAGAAGAAGGTTCTCTGACAAAGACTGAGGGTACAAGCAATATGTATGTATAAACACAAATATTCAGAAAATATTTTGACAAAAATGTACATTTGCCAAAACAAACATAATAGAACCCACCTATGGGCCTGCTATCTTGCCAGCAGGTTTACCTAAAAATCATGAAGTGAGTGTCAATGGCAATTAAGGAGCAGTTGCTTGCCCCACAATAGTCTCGCCACTACTGCACCAGCGGGCACATCCTGAGTGGCAGGTCAGTATTTTGGCATTCAGGAAGCATGACTGTGTTATACCTTTGACTTTCATTCCACAGTCGCCTCCATATCACCTTCTAGAACTGTCAGCAATAGCCCAGAGAAAGGAAATTTGCTCTCAGCTCCAGCTTGACTTGGTGTGTCCCATGGACAAAATGTCTAGTGTCTTTAGCATGAAGCCTTCCTATCTAGTTCTGGATGGTAACCAAAAGCAACATAGGCACTTCACACATTGGACCTGGATTTTCCTTTTGTAACCCATGGCTTCTACTATCTATTTGCACAGAGTACCTCCATTCAAACTCTTTGTGTTGTTAGCTTTTAAAGAAGTGTATTTTCATATTTTCATGTGCCGTTTTAGCTAATCCTCCCTCCCACCTCCTTTTTATCCTTTACCCAATCCCGTTTAACCGCCAGTATTCACTGCCCTACTTTAATACTTCATGATCTTCAATCCTCACCCTCCTCCAGGACCTCACTACCCCTCCAGCTCCTTAACGACTATTACTAAACATGTTCAATATCCTTAGTCTCCATGGAAATTCAAATGAAAATTACCTTTGAGGTTCCATCTCATCTCAATCAGAACGGCTATGATCAAGAAAACAAATGGCAACTGATTCTGACAAGGCTGTGGGGAAAAGTAAACTGGTACAACCACTGTAGAAGTAAGTGTGGGCATCCCCCCCAAAAAAAAAGAAAGTTAGAACAACCATACGACCCAAGTAAAGCACTCCTGGTGATATACCTGAAAGACTGTATCCTAAGACAAAGATACCCGCACATCCCTGCCCCCTGCTGATCTGTTCAAAACAGCTAGGAAACAGGATCAGACTAGACATCTGTCTGTGGCTGAATGCATGGTGAAGATGTGGTACACGTGTAAAACGTGATTCTGCCCCCCTCCCCGATAAAGCAAAGAGAAATTATGAAATTTTCATGAAAATGAATGGAATTGGAAAATATTACACTGAGTAAGGGAGACCAGACCTAGAAAGACAAACACCATATGTTTGTTCTCATGTGTAGATGCTAGCTTTGAATTTTTAGATTTATGTGTTTGAGTTAGAGTGTGAGTCTGTAAAGGCCAGGAAGTAAGAGAGGAACAGATGTACTTTCAAAGGGCGTATTCCCGTAGCTACCCCTCTTCTCCCTGACCTCATTCCCCTTTCACTTTGTCTTTCCCCTCAACCTCACTCTCTTCTGTGAGAATCCACACAGCTATTTTCTAAAGCGCTATTTTAAACAGCCATGGTGCGGTCCTCTAATTACACAGCACCCTCCCCAACACTTGGTGGACCCACTTGCAATTTTAGTCACTCTGGTGTTAAATATTATCTTGCATTTTTCATTTGTATTTCCTAAGAATTAATCATGTTGAGAAACGTTAGGGCTGTTCACTTTCCATTTCTATATCTGTGTTAGTGAATAACCTGCCTGAATGTGTTGTTATTTTAATGAGTTTTCTGTTTTCATGTTAGATTTCAAAGACTCTTTCCCTATTCTGAATACTAGTCTTTTATCAGATTTGTACTTTTCAAATACCTTTCCCAGTCTGTGACTCATATTCTCACTGTCTTTGCAGTGGCACTTAAAGAGAAGTTATTCTCATTTTATTTTTTATGAACTCCAGTATTTCTTTTTTTTCCTGGAACATATATTTGTGATCTTTGAAAAGAAATTTTTTCTGTATCTCAAAACACCAAAATATTCACTCTTTTGGTGTAGAAATGTTACTGTTTGCATTTTATGTGTGATACTGTTATTCAGTTCGAGGTTGTGATGGTTAAACTTCATGGTCAGTTTGACTAGCTTGGGAATCACCTAGAAGACATACCTTTGGGTATTATAAAAGTTTAATTCAGCACTAGAAGACCCACTCTGAAGATGGTGGGGAATGCCATCCCAACAGTTCAAGAGGAGGAAGCTGTCTAAGCTCTAACATTCATCTCTCTCTGCTTCCTGATGTGGATGTTTCCACAATAACGACTTCCTTCCCCACCATGATAAACTCCATCACCTCAAATCATGAGCCAAATAAAACTTTCTTTCTGTCCATTGATTAGTTATTTACTTCATCACAGCAATGCCTAAAAATAAACAATACACTGGTATTCTTTATTTTTCCACTACTGTAAAACGAAGTGCCTTAAAAGTCTCTATTTTCATTAGCTGTGTTCCAGTTTTCAGAAAAGCTATTATATTCTATATCTAAGAAACAGTATACCTCACTAATTACTAGAAGTTGTTTTCTTGGAGATTCCATGTTTTTACATAGACAATTATTTTGGTTTGAATATTAAATGTCCTCAGCTAGTAGCATTCTTTGGGAATGTTCCTGAAATTTTAGGAAGAGAGGACGAATTGTAGGAAGTAGGTCACCAGGTCCAAAGAATTCTCAACAGAGAAAAGTCAAATGGCCAAGAAATATTTAACGAAATGCTCAGTATCCTTAGCCATCAAGGAAATGTAAATCAAAACCACTTTGAGGTTTCATCTTTTTTTTTTTTTTTTTTTTTTTGGTTTTAGGAGACAGGGTTTCTCTGTATTGTTTTGGAGGCTGTCGGTCCAGCCTGGCCTCGAACTCACAGCGATCTGCCTGCCTCTGCCTCCCAAGTGCTGGGATTAAAGGTGTGTGCCACCACTGCCCGGCTAAAACCACTTTGAGGTTTCATCTTAAACCAGTCACAGTGCCTAAGACCCACTATGCAAGTGACGGTGCATGCAGGCAAGGATGCCGATCAAGGAAACCATTCCTTCACTGCTGGGGGATAGTGTAAATGTGGATAGCCACTATTGAAGTGTGGTGTTTCCTCAGAAATCTGGAACTAGATGTACCTCAAAATGTAGCTATAATATACACCCAAGGGACTCCCCATCCTACCACAGAGGCACTTACTTGCTCAGCCATGTTGCTCTATTCATAATAGTCAGAAATTGTAAACAACCTAGGTATCTTTGGTAGCTTGGATGTAATCGGCCCCCATAGGGAGTGGCACTATTAGGAGATGCGGCTTTGTTGAAGTGAGTATGGCCTTGTTGGAGGGGTAGGCTTTGTGGTTTAATATGCTCAGGAGACCACCCAGTGTATAACTCAACCTCCTGTAACCCTGAAAGCCAAGATGTAGCCAGGACCACATCTGCCGGCACACTGCCATCCTCCCCACCATGCAGA